CACTATGAGCAGAAGGTCTGAATATTCAACTAGTTTTAAACAAAAAAAAAAAAAAAGAAATATTAACTTAAAACTACGGATCTTAAGAAAATGGGAACATGCTGCTTAATTTCCATGCAGACCGGAAGGAACAAAACAGGGTCGGTCTCACTTAAAATGCTAACATTTATGTATGAAGGATGAACATGTAGATAAACAAGTGTTAAGTACTTTACTCAACATTAAAAAGCAATTTAATTGCATTAGCTAAACAGCAACAAAGAGGTTGTGATCATTTACCTGCCCAATGGAAATTCTACATCAGCGTTTAAAAGCAGCTGTCTCTAAATAGTGGTTCATTTACCGTTTAAAGTCTAATTAAAAGCAGGACTGTGTGTAGAGCCATAGCTCCCCCTATCAATATTTATATTTATAAATGATAGCCTATAACAGGGGGAGTTTTATGTAAAAGTTGTGCATGTTTCCAGCTGCAATGCAATGGATTAGGTTAACATTTCTATCAGTTAAGTAAAGCTATTAGATCATTCTCATAGTATAAGAAGCTTGTTTATTTTAAACCTTTTTTTTCCTTTTTTAAGACTTGCACTCAGCAAAGTTTTGAAGCCAAGAGAAAGAACCCAGAGGTCTGGTCTAATTGTGAGTAAACGCTGCACCAGAGCTCATTTCTGTTCAGCATCAGGGGGAGAGGGATTGCTGCTCATGTGGGAGCAGAGCTTCGCTTAGAAGAGCTGCTACATGGTGAGCGTCCCATCGCCTGGCATGGAGCATCAGCTGTGGGAGGCAACGCTGGGGTACAAGGTCCAGATGGAACATCTGCTGATGGACTCTTATCAGGAGAAAAAATAACACACAAACGCACTGCTGCTGGGGGTTGATGGAGAGAAACAGGGCATTCTTTGCAGAGTTTAAGAAAACATGCCTGCTTTTTGTTTGTTCGGGAAACGAAAGCGGGGTCCCAGCAGGCTCGCTCATTTGCATTTAACAAACCATCACAACATCAGCTTAGGTCGTTGCTCTGTATGTTGATTTGTTTCCTAATCTTAAATCATTAAAATTTCCAAGGAAATTTTCAAATGTTTTATTTTTGAGAAAACATGTCCCTACAATGTGATTCACCTCTCCTTCTGCTCATCAAATGTTGTCAGCATCCTCACCATAGGTACCGGCCCCTGGTTAAGAACTGAAGTAACTATTCCTTATATAAACACACACATCCCAGGAGGTAGGCTCACAGTTAGGAGCACAGGAGGAATAAATTCTCCATATTAATCTTCAGTTTTTCTACATTCCACCAAAAGCTTAGAGGTGTTCCACAGCCTTTCAGCATGAGCATAATTCAATTCATTTCAAATCAGTTTATTTATATAGCGACAATTCACAACACCTCATCGCACTTTATAGTTCACCAGATCATCCAGTTAAATTGATTCAAAGTTTTCTATCTAAGCAAAACCAGTTGATTGCATCGACTCATTGACTCGAATGTAATCCCTCACACTAAGCATGCTTGTAGTGACAGTGGAGAGGAAAAACTCCCTTTTAACAGGAAGCAACCTCCAGCAGAACCAGGCTCAGTTCAGACTTATAAATGTTCTCTCTGCTCTATGATTGAACTAATCTTGTATTTCTGTATATAACTTTCATCTATTCGTCTATATAATACATTTGCTTTAATTCTGTGCTATATAATTCTATACGAATAAACTAGACGGAATAGAAGCTGTTGTGATATCAGAACGACATAAACCTGCAGCTTGCTCCATCAGCTGTGTCTGCAGTCCTTCTTAATAGGTCATCTTCCAACTGTTTTTCGTTTAATCCTCAGAACTGGGACATCTATCTCACCTCTATGATGTTCTGGTTTGATGCTTTTCTCAGAAATTTAAGAATAAAATCTGATACACCCCTGATTTTGGAAAAAAAAAAAGTTTGTAAATTACCTCAGGGTCCTTAAACAAACTACCATCAGATATAGGTCAGGTCTGACTGATACAAGTCAGATTTTGGCCACTTTTTCCAATACTACTTTAAAATAATATATTTTAGGTCACCCCGCCTCTCGCCCGTAGACAGCTGGAGATAGGCACCAGCACCCCTCGTGACCCCAGCTGGGATTAAGCGTGATGGTAAATGGATGGATATTTTGGGTTGATCTGAAACAAAGGTAAGTTGTAAATCAGTTTTGCCTACTTCTAGGTACGGCAGAGGATGTGTGATGCTGCAGGCCTGTTTCTCTGAGAACTTGGAATTTAAAATAGGTTGAAAATAAATAATGTTTCACATAATGAAGGTTAAAATGTATCCGTACATATCTTCAAAAACTCTACGTGTTACGTGCAACACAATATTCCTTAATAGAAAAAAATAAGAGAATAATATTTTTTTTGTTTGATTACCTGTAGGATTGAATAAGAAGTAAATGTTACTTTCTTTTAAGCACTCCTTCATCTCTGATGTCTCTGGTGCTACATTATAATGGATCCTCTATGGTGTTAAACAAAGTGCAGCCAAGGTCTAAATACGCTTCACGCTTGACTTCCTGTTGTCGTTAAGTGTGTGCACTGAACACACTGTGTACAAACATAAAAAAAAAAAGCCTAGATAGTGACGTGTGAACCTCGAAACCAGAGAGACGGATGATAAACTATGATGAAGGCGGCAAAACTACACAGTTTGGAGGTTTGATCTCAGCTACGTAAGTTCTGTTTGCTTCTTTGCGGTTTTCTGACTCACTCGCTCTCTTAATGGCCCTTTGGAGCACTCACTTCCCTTATGCCGGTGCCAATAATTAGTTCTCTGTGTTCTTCTGCCCTACAGGTAGCTGTTAATTATCGCTCATGTTCGTCATTTGTAAAAAAAAGAAGCACGTAGAGACTTGAATGTTTCTTTAGATACTGTATCCAGCTCGATAAACAGCCTGTCTTAGGAATTCAGACTGGATAGAAATATCTAAACTGCATCACTGCACAGCAACACGGCTTTCTGAGGGTGTGTGCAACCAACAGGCATCCCTGTACGCCACATTCAGACACCAGCAATTACAACATACAGTGTAGGTAAGAGCTGTGAGTGGGAGGAGAGCACGGGCTGCATGATCTTCAGGCAAACAAACAAATATGTTGTACAGACACACAAGTTCGCCCTTCTCTTTCTTCTTGTGGGAGGGCTGCTTCACAGTTGCAGGCTGCTTCCCGCCCCATGGGCATCCTGGGTGCCCATGTCGAGGGAGGGCTCTGAGACAGAGGGATGGAGGAAACCTGTGTTTGCAAAAAAAAGCTTAAAAAATGTAGAGAAAGTGAAGAATAAGAGAGGGGTAAAGGTGGGGGTGAGATGAGTGCAGCAGCCCATGGTTTGTCTCAGGGCTGCAACAACTTCCAGAGCCGATGTGCAGCAGACTGAGGAGAGGCACGTCTGCCCCACAGGCAGAGACTGGAAAACAGGATCAAAGAGTCACCAGGGCAACCTGCTTGACACACATTGTATTAAAGCCACACGGTTAATTTGAGAGAGAGGGAAGAAGGGTAAAAGGAGAAGAAAAGGGGAGGTGTG